CTCTCTGGGTTTATATGATTTCCTGTCACCGCACACACTCCACGCATAAGGTGATGTGACAACACCCCGGAGGCCTGGAGTCCCAGCCAGCTACCGCAGATCAATGCTGATGACAAGCGAGACGGGTCTTCCTTGGTGACCCAAGGATTTATCAATTTTATTAACTGACCAGAGGCAAGGACCCCAAACATAGCAGTTCAGGATATTTTCAACAAGGAGAGGGATATTGCAGACCATGTGACATCCAGCTGAGGATATAAAGTGAGGGGAAGAAGGAGGAAGGCGGTGTCATTTGGAGTGGTGGGTTTTGTCTTCCCAGCTAGCTGTTAGGTGGAATAGGGCCCTGCTCTCCTGGAGGTGGTGAACACCTTTCTATCCATGGGAAATGGTGAAAGGATTCCTTGATGTGCTGTGCTTGTATGCACAGCTTTTGCTTTCCCAGTTAAACTGTCTCTATCTCCACCCACGAGTTTTCCAGCTTTTCCTCTTCCAGTTCTCTCCCTGATCCTGGTGGTCGGGGAGTGAGGGAGCGGCTGCTGGCTGGGCTTAAACCACACTATTAGGACAAGGTGAAAAGGCTTGAAATGGCAGGAATGTAGGTTTAGACTGGATATTGGGAAGATATTGGTTACTGTGGAGGTGGTGATGCCCCAGCACAGGTTGCTCACAGAAGCTGAGACTGCCCCATCCATGGAAGTGTCCATGGCCAGGCTGGCAGGGACTTGGAGCAACCTAGGATAGTGAAAGGTGTCCCTGCCCATGGGAGGGCATGGAAGTAGCTGGTCATTAAGGTCCTTTCCAACCCAAAATGTTCTGTCATTCAATGAGCATTCATTCACTCAAAGCTAACTGGACACATGTTCTTGCATTTCCAAAAGTCCAGGAATAACAGAAGGATGAGTTACAACCAGAAGTACCCAGAAGAGGTGGGTTAGACCAAAGTTTGTTCAAACAAACTGGTTACGTCCCATGGTTTCTTTAGTCTCTGTTAACCTGGGACTGATGTCTTAAACAAAGTAGGGTTTATCCAGAATGAGGGAGAAGGCCAAGAAGAAGCAGACCTGGTGGAGATGGGGCAAATTCCTCCTTCCTTATGAGGCCCAGCTGACAGAACAACGTAGGGCCCATCATTAGAAGGGGCCATAAAGAATCAAAGACACCCAAAGTGCCCCCAACTCCACAGTGCTGTATGACCAGTGTAAAACCCCTCCCAGGGGAAAAGTGGGGCAATACCACATGATCTTTAACTCATTGAACCCATTGAACTGTTAAATGCAAAGGCCCCCACCACCAAAGGATCAAGAGTGGAGACATTACAGTGGGAGTCCTGTCCCTGGATCTGTGGAGATATCTTGTAAGAGCTGTTGGCACCCTGGACCACTTTGTTCATGCCATTCACAGGAGAATAACTGCTGTCTGATGCTGACATTTGTGGGGGTATTATGGCATCCTCTGATTGCATTTGCACACCCAATGTCCTGCAAGGGTGCTCTGGGCTCTGTGACTTTACTGGTGGCTGTAGAAATTTCAGTGGAAAGCAACTTGTGATTTATAGAAGATGTGAGCCTGCAATCCAGCACTGCTGCAAATAACTTTTATTGTGAGCTCTTGCAAACTCCATGATGTGGCACACATTGGTCTTTGACAACCATTGAATACATTTCCCCAAATCAGTTTCCCATAAATCTTCAGAAAAGCTTCAGAAGCAGAGCAGAGAATGAAGGTGTCCAAGGAGTGTATCACAGGAATTCAGCTTTGGCTGCTCAAAGCTTTCTATGTCTCTGATGCCAAAGCCTGCCTGTCTGATACAACAGCTGATGCTCTCAAGGTGCAGTTTCAAAAGCAAGCAAACAAAGGAATATACCAGGATCACAGAATCACTGAATTGTTGTGTTTTGGACGAATTTTTCAGGACCTTCTAGTCCAGACTCCAGGCTCCAGCAGGATCAGCAGGTTGTCCAGAATCAAGTATTGTTGGCATTTGGGTATCTCCAGACATGGAGATCTCCAGACAGGATCTCTGGGCATCCTGAGGAGCCCTGGTGCCACAGCCTTGCTAAGGAGATGAGGGACAAGTCAGCTGCCCACTCTTGGGGACAGCAAAGGAGGAGAGGACTCGTTCCTGAGAGCTCTCTCCTGAGATGGGCAGCAAAGCAAAGCAGCTGGAGGCTCTGCCCACGTCTCTGTGCCTTTGAGCAGAGGAGGAGGTGCCCTGAGGGACAGAGCTGGGAACACAGCAGAGAAGGAAGCAGCACAGACTCTGCACAGGACATTTGTGCCCCGCTACTCTGCTCTGCTGAGACCCCACCTGCAGTGCTGCCTCCAGCTCTGGGGCCCACAGCACAAGAAGGATACAAAGCTGTTGGAGAGGAGTCCAGTGGAGGCCATGAAGGTGCTGCAAGGGCTGGAGCATGTCTGCTCTGGAGAGAGGGGAGAGAGCTGGGGACGTTCAGCCTGGAGAAGACTGCTGAGAGTGCAGTACCTCAAGGATCTCCAAGAGGGCTGGAGAGGGTCTCTGGACAAGGGTATGGAGTGACAGGGCAAGAGGGAATGGTTTCACACTGATGGAGGGCAGGGTTGGATGGGATATTATAAAGAAGGAAATTACTGTGAGCATGCTGTGGTACAAGTAAAAGTTACTGAGAGATGTTTTGACTGGCCCATCCCTGGAAGGGTTCAAGGCCTGGCTGGGGAGGGCAAGGAACATACTGGAGTAGTCGAATGTGTTCCTGCCCATGGTGGGCCGGTCAGAATGCGTTGATCATTAAGGCTTTAAGGTCCCATCAAAAACAACCCATTCTGTGATTCTGTGATCCTGTGACATGTAGGAAAAGGCACTGAGCCTTTTCCATTGAGGATGTGAAGCTTATTTCCGGGGGCAGGCATTGTTGAACAGAGTAACTGTTCCACCATAGAGCTTGGTCAACCTCTCCTCCAGCTTCCCCAGGCTGAGCTCCTCCACCTTGTTCTTATTGTTCTCAGCAATGGCCCCCCAAGTATCTTTGGGCTCTTCATTCACCAGACAGCAGGCAGCTGACCAGATGTGGCTGGGTCTGTTAACCCTCCCTTCAGCGATGTAGGTGTTCCCAGGCACAGCACCCGTGATCACATAGGTCGTTGTACAGCCCCTGGTCTTAGTCTTGGTGGGCATCTTTTTAGACTCATAGATGTTCCACTGGCCCTTGTTGAGGCTGCTGTCCTGGGGGACTATGTTGGTGAGGGTGAAGGTAGCTGTCTTGCTCTCTCTACTGTACTGATGGCCATTGGGGCTCAAATGACCACGGTCCAAACCCGTCACGTTGTAGTCAGTGAGGACAGCCTGGCTCTGTTTGATTTGGTCTATGGTGAACTTGTGTTGCTCTATGAGGACCGACTCTCTTTCCATCTCTTTAAGATTATTCTTACCTATCAGCTTGATAGGGAAAGAGAAATAGGTGTTAGAATAGGGAATGGGAGTAACAGAGAAGATTTCCCTGGAGCAGAAAACTCTGATGGTCAAGATCTCATTTGGTGTCATTTCAGTGCAGGAAAATGTATGAATCTGAGAGAAATCATACACATGCCCTTCCTACATGAATGCAAGACAGTTAAAGAGAAAGCAGTTCAGAATGTGACTGCTCTCCTTTTGACTTGTGACCTTTGTGATCCAGCCTGCAACATGTGCTGGGAGCATGGATGGATGCACAAAACAAGGAGCATTTCCCACTCCTAGGACTGAAAGGTGACTTTGGTGAGACACCTCCCCTATCAAATCTGCTTCTCTTTCCTCCTGTCTCCACAATCCAAATCCGCCCAGGTCTCTCCCTGGATCCTCTTACACCACGCTGTGATTCTGTCATTCAATGATTCTGTGATTTTATGTGTGGTTGCTACAAATGTACCCCAGTCCTGGAACACCAGAGGTTGCCTCCTGTAACCCCATACAGTGGGAGATGTGTCAGTAAATCAGTCCTGCAGCTGAGGTTTCCCTGGGAGGGCTACAGTTTGTTTAAAAATGACCAGTTTTGCTCAGTAAGCAAAAAGATCTCAATGTGAATGGAATCTGTTACAGTAGTGCTAGGAATGCGTGGTAGAGCTATCTGGGCAAGGGAGAATTTTCTGCAGCATCACTGAAAAGAAGTTACAAATGATCAGCCTCTGATTGGGACCTGTAACCTCAAAAGAGTCCTGGGGAAATTAATACTCCAAAAATGCCTCAGGAGAAAGTTATTAAAAATCAAAGGTTGTTTGGGTGGCCAGGGTCCAAGGACCAGAAGGAAAATGCCAAGGTAGATAGGGCTTGGATCATGCTGGTCTAATGGCAACTGGCTGGCCCATGCAGGGGAATTGGACTGAGATGGTCTTTAAGGTTCCTTCCAACAAAAAACATTCCATAAATCTCCAAAAACAGACATCGTGGAAGCTGCAGTGGTTCAAGGCCAGAGTAGTTGTTCTAGTTCCTATGCGAAATAAGATGAAGTTATTATTTTTTTTAATAACTTCAACATAATTTTGTTCACCTTTTGGGAAACATATTTAGCCTTCCTCTGGAGTAGAGCACAAAGCTTCCTTCTCTGGCTCACCTTTCCCCAAATGTCATCCTGCTACTCTGTCCTTACGAATGACAGGAAATGCCTCTTTTTCTCTTCTGTAGTTGGCCTGGCCTTTCTACCGAATTTTGTCTGAAGGCCATTGGTAAGGGCTCTGTTGTCTGTGGAGTTCTGTCTGTCTGCTGGATCAAGCCTGGGCCAAAGGCGCACAGGGATCACTGCTCATAGATGGAGATCCCACCCCTCTGACTGGACCAACACTGATGCTCCTCACTCTCACTGCAGGAAATGTCACTGCAGAAATCCCTCCACAGTTAACCTGACCCTCTCATCTCCAGTGCCTTTTCCCCTGAGGCTTTGTCCCTGGGTCATCTCACCTCCGTCTTAGTTTCTCCTCACTTCTCTCCCACCACTCACAAAGGCTGTTTGACTCTTCACTGGGAGCAGAGAAGCTCTGCCAGGGATGCAGAACAGCTCAGGGCCAAGTGGGGATCAGATGCCAGCAGGACTGTTGGTGCCTCAAGTTTAGCCTCTCCTGGATGCCTTTTCCCCATCACTTGGTCACCCAGCACAGCAGGGCCCAGGGAGGGGAAGCATTTTCCTTGTCATGTCATGCAAAGGAATCTGATTTGCTGTTCCTGTCAGGTGAAGGCAGAAAGCTGGGCACCCTTGGGATGTGATTCATCTCATGCTCCTGCTGATGTCTCAGATGCATTAGAGGAACCAAGTGGTGAAGGACTTTGAAGTTCAGTGAGGACATTCCTATCCTGTGTGTCCATTTGTATGTTTGTATTGGGGTGTTAGGAAATAGAAGTGGTAATTTAAATGCTGCAGCTCATCTCTCAGTGGATGGAAGGGGATGTGAGTAAAGAGGGACACTCACCTGGGGCTCAACAAACCACCATGAGTGAGGTCTCTTGGCATCTCCAGGTTCGTATTTGTAAGCAGAGTACACTGGAATTCTCCTGTCTCTGTCGTACAGGGTGGCATAGTGATACGAGTTGCTGAAACGCTGGCAGATCCAGGCTGGGTTCTTTGGATTCAGGGCATCATTTGGGGTTGTCCCTGCATAGAAGAACTGAGGACAGCTTGCAAAGGAGTTCACCACCTCGCTGTGTCCCAGCCAGAGGCAGCTGGCCAACACCTGCAGCAGCAGCAGACCCAGCATGGTGGGAGGATTTCAGTGAAGGGCTCTTGCTCCCCTGGAAGGCAAATGCAGAGACACACACAGCTTGGAGAGAGCTGGACATGGCCTGGAGCCTTTTTGTGCAGGGGACAGAGCTGCCAGAGGAGGGGATTATGAGACACCAGGAAAGGTCTAATTTCTGTCCTCCCATACATGGCGAAATCACAATAGCAATAAGGGTGAAACCTAAAACAGGGTTTAGGTGCCCGCAGGAGGCAGCAGTGGGAGCACTCAGCCTGCAGGAGGAAGGAGCCAAACCCACCATGACTGCAATCAGCTCTCACAGCAAAAGTACAACTGAGGTACAGCCCTGGGACAAGGTCACCTTTTCCCACCTCCCTCCTGCTCTCAGCACCTTCCCACAGCAGACACCTGCAGCTGGGCACGGGCTCTGCTCAGCCCCCTGCCATGCTGAGCTGGGCTTTAATCTCATGGGGCATGGGGCAGGCAAAGAACAGCAATGCCGCACTTCCTACAAGTCTCTGGCCCCATCCAGGCTCACACAGACACTCAGCTCTGCCACTCAGACCCAATACTGAGCCCCAAATGATCCACCTGGGCTCCTGCCTCTCAGCTGACATTGGGCCATGGGTGTCCTGCTGCTCACCTTGCATTTCCATGTCATCCAACCCCAATCTGAACTTGCAGACACATGGAGAGAGCAAATGAAGGGGCCAAGCAGATGGCAACAGCAAGCAGGAGGGATAACACCTCTATCTTATCAGTACAGTGGCTGCTGCAATGCAAGCACTGAGGGGCAGCTCTTCCCATGGTTGCTTGGGATTGCTGCTGATGTCCATCTTCAGCTTTGCTGATGGATTTCCCTGTACAGTCAAAGGCACCATTGCAGGAATTTCTTGGACAGCCACCTATCCTGTTTTGTCTTTCTCAGTGGAGACCTGATTTTCAGCAGTCAGTAAGGTCACAAAACTGCTGAAAAGCTCCCTGGGATGCTGGTAACCAAACAAGGGACTTTGTTTCCTTTCAGACGCAGCACAGGTTTGGAAGAGCAGGGATGCTTCCATTTGCATTGCCAGACACTCAATGCAGTGATTTAATATCATCAGCCTTCGGAATATGGCAGCTGGGACAGGCAGGTAAAAGGGTTCCTGGCAGAGAAAGCTGCCACAGCCTCTAAAGCACAAAGCCCACCTTGGGCTGGGAAGGGGCTGAGCTCAGCACTGCTGAAGGCTTGACAAGTCACCTGCACATTTGCCCTTGTCTTCTTCTTCTCCCTGACCCTCATCTCTCCATTTCCACTGAATTCAGGAAGCTGAGCTGCACACAGCCCTGCTCTGACCCAAGATATCTGATCATTTTTCTCTTCTTCAGCCCTGGCTCAGAAACATGGTCAGCAATGATCTGGAAACTGAGAACTGACACTACAAGTGGTGACTTTTTACAGTACTCTGCAGAGCATGCCCAAAGCTGCCCTAAAGCAAGCAGAGAAGGGTCTGGAAACTCCTCCTGCGTGTCCTACTCCATGAGACTGAAATAGATATAACTCACTTAATATCTGAATTAACAGATACATAGAAAACAACCTACCGTGAGAAGGAGTGGCACAGGATTCTGCTCACAGCCCCAGAGTGGCAGAGGAGTCTCCAATGCCTCTGCTGCAGTCTCATACTCTCTGGGTTTATATGATTTCCTGTCACTGCACACACTCCGCTGCACACGTAACCTGACAATTCCTCGGAGGACTGGAGTCCCAGCCAGCTACCGCAGATCAGTGCTGATGACAAGCGAGACAGGTCTTGCTTGGTGACCTAAGGATTTATTAACTTTATTCACTGACCAGAGGCAAGGACCCCAAACATAGCGGTTCAGGATATTTTCAACTGAGCACGTCTCAGGGAAGGATACAGCTCTTCATCCAATCTGAGAAGTTTAGGGGAGGAACATAAGGCAGGGTTTGCAATGTTCTAACCAATCGGGTACACAGGGGGAGGGAAACAGTTCAAATAAACCAATGGAGCTTCCAGGATTTGGGGATTTCCAAAGGGGAGGTCTAGCAGGGGGTTGGTAGAAGAAGGGATTGACAACTGTGGGGAGGAGGAACTCGGACTGTTTAAAATAAGGGGTTGGTCTTAGCAACGATAGACAGCTAGCAGGGAGGGTATAATTTGGACTGAACTAATGAGGCAGGGGGAGAAACAAACAGAACAGACCATTAAGGACAAAAACATGCCACAACACTCTCCAGAAAGAGACAATTGTTAGATTTCCCAAGCTGACCTAAGGATGAATTTTCTCAGAACATCACACCACACCTCGGTTTATCCAAAGGTTTTTTAGAAGTTGATGGATGTAGTTTTAGTACTGAATAATCTCCCCCATCCTTCTTGTTCAACAGTTTGTTGTTAATTTTGAGGTGAGCTGGCTTTAGTTTCCTTCCCAAAACATTCCATCTGTACTTGCCCTCCTGACTGACAGAAAATACCTAAATCCTGCAAAAATCAATGCATATGTAAGTGCTGATTGCTCCTTGGAGCTCAGCAACTCCAGCCTAGGCTTTCTCTATGTATATTTATTGCAAAGTTCAGGAAAGACTTGGAATACAGGGTTAATGGTGAGGAAGGAGGAAGAGCTTACCTTGAAGCAAAGTCTCAGAAGAAGGAGCTGAACCGTTCCTTCTGTCTTCTCCCTGGAGACAGAAATGTTTAAATCATCATGAGTGCCACTGCAATATGTACCCAGGCAAAAATTTGCCCCTTCTTATAAACAGGGAATTCCACAGAATGGAGAACCTTTCTGTTTTTATTCAGGGAGTATGTTCACACCCACCCTGAAATGTGTTGATAGTTGTTTCTCAAATTTTCCCCAGAATTTCTCCCAACTTTGCTGATTTGTAGCATGGTATGTCAGGGTCAGCTAACAGGGTCTGGTGGCTGCCTTGATCATTTCATCAATCCCACCAGCTGCAGCTGCTGCTGCTCCAGCACCTACACGTGTTCCTGTTCCCAACAGAACATCTCTGGTGACATGGGATGGACTGGCCTGGCTCTGAGAGATGTTTCTGGTCTTGCTGGGCAGAGCTTTCACGGGGCAAGGCCTTTTCTGCTTTTTGTACTGCCAGGCTGGCAAGGAGGCTGGGGGTACTTGGGAGGTTGGGAGGAGACACAGCCAGGAGAGGTGAGCCCAACTGAGCAGAGGGATATTGCAGACCATGAGATCATGCTGAGGATATAAAGGGAGATGAAGGAGGAGGAAGGAGGTGTCATTTGGAGTGTTGGGTTTAGTCTTCCCAGCTAGCTGTTAGGTGGGATGGGGCCCTGCTCTCCTGGAGGTGACTGAGCACCGTTCAGTCCGTGTGAAATGTGAAAGGATTCCTTGATGTGCTGTGCTTGTGTGAACAGCTCTTGCTTTCCCAGTTAAACTGTCTCTATCTCCACCCATGAGTTTTCCAGCTTTTCCTCTTCCAGTTCTCTCCCTGATCCCGGTGGTCGGGGAGTGAGGGAGCGGCTGCTGGCTGGGCTTAAACCACACTATTAGAACAATGTGAAAGGGATTGAAATGGAAGAAGTGTAGGTTTAGAGTGGATATTAGGAAGACATTTGTTACTGTGGGGGTGTGAACAGCTCTTGCTTTCCCAGTTAAACTGTCTCTATCTCCACCCATGAGTTTTCCAGCTTTTCCTCTTCCAGTTCTCTCCCTGATCCCGGTGGTCGGGGAGTGAGGGAGCGGCTGCTGGCTGGGCTTAAACCACACTATTAGAACAATGTGAAAGGGATTGAAATGGAAGAAGTGTAGGTTTAGAGTGGATATTAGGAAGACATTTGTTACTGTGGGGGTGGTGATGCCCCAGCACAGGTTGTTCACAGAAGCTGAGCCTGCCCCATCCATGGAAGTGTCCATGGCCAGGCTGGCAGGGACTTGGAGCAACCTGGGATAGTGAAAAGTGTCCCTGCCCATGGAAGGGCATGGAAGTAGCTGGTCAATAAGGTCCTTTCCAACCCAAAATGTTCTGTCATTCAATGAGCATTCATTCACTCAAAGCTAACTGGACACATGTTCTTGCATTTCCAAAAGTCCAGGAATAACAGAAGGATGAGTTACAACCAGAAGTACCCAGAAGAGGTGGGTTAGACCAAAGTTTGTTCAAACAAACTGGTTACGTCCCATGGTTTCTTTAGTCTCTGTTAACCTGGGACTGATGTCTTAAACAAAGTAGGGTTTATCCAGAATGAGGGAGAAGGCCAAGAAGAAGCAGATCTGGTGGAGATGGGGCAAATTCCTCCTTCCTTATGAGGCCCAGCTGACAGAACAACGTAGGGCCCATCATTAGAAGGGGCCATAAAGAATCAAAGACACCCAAAGTGCCCCCAACTCCACAGTGCTGTATGACCAGTGTAAAACCCCTCCCAGGGGAAAAGTGGGGCAATACCACATGATCTTTAACTCATTGAACCCATTGAACTGTTAAATGCAAAGGCCCCCACCACCAAAGGATCAAGAGTGGAGACATTACAGTGGGAGTCCTGTCCCTGGATCTGTGGAGATATCTTGTAAGAGCTGTTGGCACCCTGGACCACTTTGTTCATGCCATTCACAGGAGAATAACTGCTGTCTGATGCTGACATTTGTGGGGGTATTATGGCATCCTCTGATTGCATTTGCACACCCAATGTCCTGCAAGGGTGCTCTGGGCTCTGTGACTTTACTGGTGGCTGTAGAAATTTCAGTGGAAAGCAACTTGTGATTTATAGAAGATGTGAGCCTGCAATCCAGCACTGCTGCAAATAACTTTTATTGTGAGCTCTTGCAAACTCCATGATGTGGCACACATTGGTCTTTGACAACCATTGAATACATTTCCCCAAATCAGTTTCCCATAAATCTTCAGAAAAGCTTCAGAAGCAGAGCAGAGAATGAAGGTGTCCAAGGAGTGTATCACAGGAATTCAGCTTTGGCTGCTCAAAGCTTTCTATGTCTCTGATGCCTCTGGGCTGGGGAGGTCTTGGAACAACCTGGTGAGTGGAAGGCATCCCAGCCCATGGAAGAGAGGTGAGAATGAGATGACTTTTAAGGCTTTTATGTCCCATCAAAGCTAACCCATTCTGTGATTCTGTGATTCTGTGACATGTGGGAAAAGCCACCGAGCCTCTTCCATTGAGGATGTGAGGCTTATTCTCGAGGACAGGCATTGTTGAACAGAGTAACTGTTCTTTTGTAAAGATTGGTCAATCTCATCTCCAGCTCCCCCAACGTGATGTTCTCCACCTCGTTCTTGTCATTGTCAGCGATGGCCCCCCAAGCCTTCGTGGTCTTTTTATCCACCACGCAGCAGGCAGCTGACCAGATGTGGCTGGGCCTGTTAACCCTCCCATTGGATATGAAGGTGTTCCCAGGCACAGCACCCGTGATCACAAAGGTGTTTTTACAGCCATTGCTCATTTTGTCCATGGTATCAGACTCGTAGGCATTCCACTGGCCGTTGTTGAGAATCCTGTACTGGGGCACTACATTGGTCTGGGTGAAGGTCGCTGTCTTGCTCAGTACACTCTCCATATGGCCACTGGGGCACAAATGGCCACGGTCCAAACCATTCAGTTGTGTGTAGTCGCCGGGAATAGCCTGGCTCTCTTTGATTTCCTCTATGGTGAACTTGTGATTATGTGTGAGGGTCAACTCCTGTGTCATCTCTTTAAGATTATTTTTACCTATAAGCTGGACAGGAAAAGTGAAAGTGGTGTTAGAATGGGGAATGGGAGCAATGGAGAAGAATTACCTGGAGCAGAAGTCTCTGATGGTCACGATCCTATTTTTGTCATCTCAGTGTAGGCAAATGTTTGAATCTGAGAGAAATCATACACATTCGCCTCCTGCATGAATGCAAGAACTTGAAAGAGCAAGCAGCTCAGAATGTAACTGCTGTCCTTTTGACTTGTGACCTTTGTGATCCAGCCTGCAACATGTGCTGGGAGCATGGATGGATGCACGAGACAAGGAGCATTTCCCACTTCGAGGATTGAAATGTAATTTTGGTGAGACACCTCCCCTGCCAAATCTGTTTCGCTTTCCTCCTGTCTCCACAGCCCAAATCTGCCCAGGGCTCTCCCTGGATCCCCTCACAACATGCTGTCATTCTGTGATTTTATGTGTGGTTGCTGCAGGTGTACCCCAGTCCTGGAACACCAGGACTGTAACCCCATGCACAGGGAGATGTGTCAGGAAATCAGTCCTGGAGCTGAGGTTTCCCTGGGTGGGCTGCAGTTCATTCAAGTATGACCAATTGGCTCAGTAAGCAAAAAATCTCAGTGTGAATGGAATCTGTTACAGCAGTGCTGAGAAAGTGTCTCAGAGCTATCTGGGCCAGGGAGCACTTTCTCCAGCATCACCAAAAACAAGTTACAAATGATCAGCCTGTCAGATGGGATGTTAACTCAAAAGAGTCCTGGTGAAACTAAATACCTGAACAAGGCCTTTGGAGAAAATTAACAAAATCAAAGATTATTTGGGTGGCCTATGTCCAAGGTGGAGGATGAAAATGAGAGGTTGGATAGGGCTGGGAACATGCTTGTCTGGTGGCAAGTGGCCTGGCCCATGCAGGAGAGTTCGACTGAGATGGTCTTTAAGGTTCCATTCAACATGAAGCATTCTATGATTCTGCAAAAAGAGAGAATGTGGAGGCTGCAGTGGTGCAAGACTAGAGTAGTTGTTCTAGTTCCTATGTGTAACAAGATGAATTTATTTTAAATAAGTTAAATATCTTTTGGTTCATTTTTAAGGAAACAAATTTAGCCTTCATCTGGAGTAGGGCACATGACTTCCTCCTCTGGCTCACCTTCCCCCAGATTGTGTCCTGCTACTCTGTCCTTATCAATGACAGCAATTGCTCCCTTTTCTTTTCTGGAATTGGCTTGGCCTGTTCTACTGAAGTTTGTCTGAAAGACATCGATGAGGGCTCTAGAGCTTGTGGAGTTCTGTCTGTCTGCTGGATCCTTCTGGACCAAGCCTGAGCCAAAGGTGCTCAGGGGTCACTGCCCATGGATGGAAATCACACCCTTCTGACTGGACCAACACTGATGCTCCTCACTTTGCCTGAAATGTCACTGCAGAAATCCCTCCACAGTTAACCTGACCCTCTCATCTCCAGTGCCTTTTCCCCTGAGGCTTTGTCCCTGGGCCATCTCAACCCTCTTCTGAGTTTCTCCTCACTCCTTTCACAAAGGCTGTTTGACTCTTCACTGGGAGCAGAGAAACTCTGCCAGGGATGCAGAACAGCTCAGGGCCAAGTGGGGATCAGATGCCAGCAGGACTGTTGGTGCCTCAAGTTTAGCCTCTCCTGGATGCCTTTTCCCCATCACTTGGTCACCCAGCACAGCAGGGCCCAGGGAGGGGAAGCATTTGCCTTTGTCATGTCATGCAAAGGAATCTGATTTGCTGTTCCTGTCAGGTGAAGGCAGAAAGCTGGGCACCCTTGGGATGTGATTCATCTCATGCTCCTGCTGATGTCTCAGATGCATCAGAGGAACCATGTGGTGCAGGAGATTGAATTAAAATGAGGAGAATTCTATCCAGTGTGTCCACATGCATGTGTGTAGTGGGCTGGGACAAAATGGAAACGGTTATTTTCATATTGCTTTTAAAGACAACAGGTCCTGTGCTGTGAGGAAGACACTCACCTGGGGCTCAAGAAACCATTCCACGTCCGGTCTCTTGCCAGCTCCAGGCTGGTATTTGTAAGCAGAGTACACTGGAATTCTCCTGTCTCTGTCGTACAGGGTGGCATAGTGATACGAGTTGCTGAAACGCTGGCAGATCCAGGCTGGGTTCTTTGGATTCAGGGCATCATTTGGGGTTGTCCCTGCATAGAAGAACTGAGGACAGCTTGCAAAGGAGTTCACCACCTCGCTGTGTCCCAGCCAGAGGCAGCTGGCCAACACCTGCAGCAGCAGCAGCCCCAGCATGGTGGGAGGATTTCAGTGAAGGGCTCTTGCTCCCCTGGAAGGCAAATGCAGAGACACACTCAGCTTGGAGAGAGCTGAACATGGCCTGGAGCCTTTTTGTGCAGGGGGACAAACCTGGTAGTGGAGAGGATTATGAGACACCAGGAAAGGTCTAATTTCTGTCCTCCTACATATGGAGAAATCAGAAGGGCAGTAAGGGTGAATCCCAAAGCAGGATTTAGGTGACCACAGGAGGCAGCAGTGGAAGCACTCAGCCTGCAGGAAGAAGAAGCCAAACCCACCACAGGACTGCAATCAGCTCTCACAGCAAAAGTGCAACTGAGGCACAGCCCTGGGACAAGGTCACCTTTTCCCACCTCCCTCCTGCTCTCAGCACCTTCCCACAGCAGACACCTGCAGCTGGGCACGGGCTCTGCTCAGCCCCCTGCCATGCTGAGCTGGGCTTTAATCTCATGGGGCATGGGGCAGGCAAAGAACAGCAATGCTGCACTTCCTACAAGTCTCTGGCCCCATCCAGGGTCACACAGACACTCAGCTCTGCCACTCAGACCCAATAGTGAACCCCAAATGATCCACCTGGGCTCCTGCCTCTCAGCTGACATTGGGCCATGGGTGTCCTGCTGCTCACCTTGCATTTCCATGTCATCCAACCCCAATCTGAACTTGCAGACACATGGAGAGAGCAAATGAAGGGGCCAAGCAGATGGCAGCAGCAAGCAGGAGGGATAACACCTCTATCTTATCAGTACAGTGGCTGCTGCAATGCAAGCACTAAGGGGCAGCTCTTCCCATGGTTGCTTGGGATTGCTGCTGATGTCCATCTTCAGCTTTGCTGATGGATTTCCCTGTACAGTCAAAGGCACCATTGCAGGAATTTCTTGGACAGCCACCTATCCTGTTTTGTCTTTCTCAGTGGAGACCTGATTTTCAGCAGTCAGTAAGGTCCTTCCTTTATGAGAAAACTGCTGAAAAGCTCCCTGGGATGATGGCAAAGCAAGGGGCTTTGTTTCCTTTCAGAGGCAGCACAGGTTTGAGAGAGCAGGGATGCTGCCATTTGCATTGCCAGACACTCAGTGCAGTGATTTCATATCATCAGCATTTGGAATAAGGCAGCTGGGACAGGCAGGTAAAAGGGTTCCTGGCAGAGAAAGCTGCCACAGCCTCTAAAGCACAAAGCCCACCTTGGGCTGGGAAGGGGCTGAGCTCAGCACTGCTGAAGGCTTGACAAGTCAGCTTGCACATTTGCTCATTTCTTCTTCTTCTCCTTGACCCTCATCTCTCCATTTCCACTGGAGTCAGGATGTTGAGCTGCACACAGCCCTGCTCTGACCCAAGGTATCTGGTACTTTTTCTCTTGTTCAGCCCTGGATCACGAACATGGTCAGCAATGAGCTGGAACTACAAGTAGGCCCTTTTTACAGTACTCTGCAGAGCATCCCCAAAGCTGCCCCAAATCAAGCAGAGAAGGGTCTGAAAACTCCTTCTGTGTGTCCTACTCCATGAGATTGAAATAGATCTAACTCACTTAATATCTAAGTTAACAGATACATAAAAAACAACCTACCGTGAGAAGGAGCGGCACAGGATTCTGGTCACAGCCCCCAAGTGGCAGAGGAGTCTCAAATGCCTCTGTTGCAGTCTCAGACTCTCTGGGTTTATATGATTTCCTGTCACCGCACACACTCCACGCATAAGGTGATGTGACAACACCCCGGAGGCCTGGAGTCCCAGCCAGCCAACCTACCGTGAGAAGGAGTGGCACAGGATTCTGCTCACAGCCCCAGAGTGGCAGAGGAGTCTCCAATGCCTCTGCTGCAGTCTCAGACTCTCTGGGTTTATATGCTCTCCAGGGAGAGACAGATGTTACATTTCCCAAGAAGCTTTTCGGGTAAATTTTCCCGGGAATTTAGACCACACCTGTGTTTATTCAGAGGATTTTTGCAAGGTCATGGGTGGAGTTTTAGTACTCAATAATCTCTCCCTTCCTACTTCTTGAACTGTTTGGTGTTAATTTTCAGGTGAGGTGCCTTGTGTTTCTTTCCCAAATCATTCCCGCTGTCCTTCCCTTCCCGAGTGATGGAAAATACTGAAATCTTGCAAAATTCAATGCATGCAGAAGCTCTGATTGCTCCTTGGAGCTCAGCAACTCCAGTCTAGGATTTGCCCGTACATATTTAGTCAAGAAGTCAGGAAAGTCTTTGAATATTGGAGTCAATGGTAATGAAGGAGCAAGTGTTTACCTTGAAGCAGAGTCTCAGAACAGGCAGCTGAAGTGTTCTTTCTGTCTTCTCCCTGGAGAAAGGAGTGTTTGAATGCTCAGGACTGCCAATGCAATATGTACCCAGGCATAAATTTGTTATTCCCATAAACTGGGAATTCCACAGAGTAGAGAAGCTTTCTGTTTTTATTTAGGGGGTATGTTCACACCCACCCTGAAATGGGTTGATAGTTGTTTGTTTTAGTTTCCTCAGAATTTTTCCCAAATTTTCTGCCTTGCAGCATGGTATCTCGGGATCAGCTGGCAAGGTTTGGTGGCTGCCTTGATCATTTCATCAATCTCACCTGTGCTCCAGCACCTACACGTGTTCCTGTTCCCAACAGAACATCTCTGATGACATGGGATGAACTGGCCTGGCTCTGAGTGCACTCAGATATTCACAGTCTGCTCTTCTGCAACCTCCCATAACATCATTCCTATGGCCAGGCTACAAATATTCTCCTGCCTGATTGCCATGGCTGTGTAACAGCTTGATCCCAGCAGCCTGGGAAGGAGAAGGCTCTGGGGACACCTCAGAGCACCTGCCAGAACTTTAGGAGTCTGCAGGAGACTGGAGAGAGACTTTGCACAATGGCATGGAGCTGACAGGTGTGCTGGGTTCAGAGTTAATTTCTTTGAAAATGGCAGGTGTGGGGCTGTGTTTTGGAGTTCTGCTGAACACAGAGTTGATAGCACAGAGATGTTTCTGGTATTGCTGGGCAGGGCTTTCATAGAGCCAAGGCCTTTTCTGCTTTTTTGTACTGTCAGACTGGCAAGGAGGCTGGGGGTACTTGAGAGGCGACACAGCCAGGAGAGGTGAGCCCAACTGACCAGAGGGATATTGCAGACCATGAGACATCCAGCTGAGGATATAAAGTGATGGAAAGAAGGAGGAAGGAGGTGTTATTTGGAGTGTTGGGTTTAGTTTACCCAGCTAGCTGTTAGGTGGAAAAGGACCAGGCCTCTTGGAGGTGGCTGAACACCTTTCTATCCATGGGAAATGGTGAAAGGATTCCTTGATGTGCTGTGCTTATGTGAACAGCTCTTGCTTTCCCTGTTAAACTGTCTCTATCTCCACCCACGAGTTTTCCAGCTTTTCCTCTTCCAGTTCTCTCCCTGATCCCGGTGGTCGAGGAGTGAGGGAGTGGCTGTGTGAGGGGGGCTGCTGGCTGGGCTTAAACTACGCCATTAGTACAAGGTGAAAAGGCTTGAAATGGAAGAAGTGTAGGTTTAAACTGGATAATTAGAAGATATTGGTTACTGTGGGGGTGGTGAGGCCCCAGCACAGGTTGCTCACAGAAGCTAAGACTGCCCCATCCATGGAAGTGTCCATGGCCAGGCTGGCTGGGGCTTGGAGCAATCTGGGATAGTGCAAGGTGTCCCTGTCCAAGGGAGGGCATGAAAGTAGCTGGTCATTAAGGTCCTTTCCAACCCAAAATGTTCTGTCATTCAATGACCATTCATTATTTAAAGCTAAACTGGACTCATTTCCTTCCATTTCCAAAACTTCAGGAATAATAAAATGATGAGTTGGTTGTTACAATGAGAAGTATCCAGAAGAAGTGGGTTAGACCAAAGTTTGTTCAAACAATCTGGTTGGATCCTGTGATTTCTTTAGTCTCTGTTAACCTGGGACTGATGTCTTAAACAAGGTGGGGTTTATCCAGAATGAGGGAGAAGGCCAAGAAGAAGCAGATCTGGTGGAGGTGGGGCAAATTCCGCCTTTCTGATGAGGCCCAGCTGGCAGAACAACGTAGGGCCCAACAGTGGTCACATCATTAGAAGAGGCCATAAACCATCAAAGACCCCCCAAGTGTCCCCGAACTCCACAATGCTGCATGACCAAGTGTAAAACCCTTCCCAGGAGAAAAGTGGGGCAATCCCAAATAATCCTGAACTCACAGAATCCACTGGACTCTTAAATGCAAAGGCCCCCACTCCTAAAGGATCAAGAGTGAGGACATTAAAGTTGGGAGTGTTTTTCCTGGATCCATGGGGATATCTTGTAAGAGCTGTTGGCACCCTTGCCCACTTTGTTCATGCCATTCACATGAGAATAACTGCTGTCTGATGCTGTCATTTGTGTGGGTGTTATGGCACCCTCTGATTGCATTTGCACACCCAGTGTCCTGCAAGGGTGCTCTGGGCTCGGTGACTTTACTGGTATTGTAGAAATTTCAGTGAGAAACAACTTGTGGTTGTAGAGGACGTGACCCTACAATCCAGCACTGCAGCAAATAATTTTAATGTGAGCTCATGCAAACTCCATGATGTGGCACACATTGGTCTTTGACAACCATTGAATACATTTCCCCAAATCAGTTTCTCTTAAATCTGCAGAAAAGCTTCAGAAGCAGAGCAGAGAATGAAGGTGTCCAAGGAGTGCACCACAGGAGCTGCTCAAAGCTTTCTATGTCTCTGATGCCAAAGTCTGCCTGTCTGATACAACAGCTGCTGCTCTCAAGGTGCAGTTTCAAAAGCAAACAAACAAAAACATCTGCCAGGATCACAGAATCACAGAATTGTTGTGTTTTGGAGGGACATCTCAGGACCTTCTAGTCCAGACTCCAGGCTCCAGCAGGATCAGCTAGAGCAGGTTGTCCATAAGGTTCTGTGCAGCATCTTCAGGCGTGTGGCACAGCACTTGGGCAGCAGCATTGCTGAGCACCTCCTCACCTGAACCCAGGGGTTCTTGCCTGATATTCCTGTGCCAAAGTGCTGTTGCCCATTAGCAAGGACATTTTGCCCAGGTGCAGGAAGTGAGGGCCTCATTGCAGGTAGCGTAACAGAAACGCACCCAGATTTACAACAGATAAGTAGTTCCTCAGAAATCAGAAGTTTAACTTTACAATGTAACTGTATTAAAGTTGCCAAACAGGAATTTGTTTTTCCTGGAGGAAGCAAAGGAGCTTTGCCCAGCTTCTCTCTCAAGCAGAGGCCAGAGGATGTCACTGTCTTGAGTCTCCTGTTACCTTCTCCTTTGGGACAGCACACGGCAACATGTTCAGTCCACAGAATGGGAACCCTTGGTGTTACTGGAAAAGGGCTAAGCAAGCTGCATGATCCAACACTTTGCAGTGAAGAGGCTTGAGGTCGCAGTGTCACCCCACATCTCCCAGCAAAAATAATTTTTCCTTAGTGGCTAAAACCCCTGTGACACACCGGAGCCCAGAGCTCTCCCCAAAGATGGACAGACACAGAGCAAACTGCAAAATTACCCGGCCATGTCAGTGCAGCTACATCTTCCCAGGGAACACAGGTGCTTCCCACCCCACCGTGGGATTGAGATGCCACCATAACCTCAGGCAGTCCATTCCAATGTTGAATCACTCTTTATGTGAAGAAATTCCTCCTGATGTGCCACAGAATCTCCCCTGCTGCCAGTTGAGGCCTGGCCCTCTCATCATCTCCCTGGTTATCCAGCAGAAAATTCTGACACCCAGCTGGCTGCACCCCCTTTTCAGGGAGCTGGAGAGAAAAATAATCTCTCAGAGCCGCCTTTTCTGGGCTAAAGAACCCCAGCTGCCTCAGCTGCTCCTCACAGGCCTTTCCCTCCAGGGCCTTCACCAGCTTCATGGCCTTTCTCTGCACTGCCTGCTGACGTGGCCTCGGCCCGTGGATCCAGCCCGTCCAGATCCCTCTGCAGAGCCTTCCTGCCCTCCAGCAGGCTGAGTCGCCCACCCACCTTGGTATCATACATGATCTTGCTGAGAGTTCCCTGGATGCCCTCATGCAGATCACCAGTGAAGATCTTAAACGGGACTAGGCCCCACGCTGCTCCCTGGGGACAGCGCTTGTGGCCGGACGCCAGCTGGATGTGGCACTGTTCACCAAGGCTCTCTGGGCCTGGACACCCGGACAGCTCCTGACCCAGCCAGGAGAGCACCTCTCCAAGCCGTGGGCTGACAGCTTTTCCAGGAGAATGCTGTGGGAGACTGTGCCAAAGGCTTTGTTGAAGTCCAGGTGGACACTTCCACAGCCTCCCCCTCATCAGCAGGGCCGCTCATCTGGTCATCAAAGGAGATCAGGGTCACTAGGCAATACCTGCCTTTCCTAAACCCCTGCTGGCTGGGACTGATGCCTTGGTTATCCTGGATGTGCCCTGTGATCACACTCAGGACAATCTGCTCCAAAACCCTTCTGGGAAGCCAGGTCAGGTGGACACGCCTGTAATTCCCCAGATTCCCCTTCCAGCCCTTCTTGAGGATGGGTGTCACAATGGCCAAACTCCAGGCATCTGGGACCTCCCCAGTGACCCAGCACTGATTAGAACGGATGGAAAGCAACAGTCCTCATATATGAAATAAGGCAGAATCCAAGCTGATCCTTTTCTCTCTTGCGCTTCCCATGTATTTCATAAGCTTGCTATGCATGGCAGGGCATTTCTGATTACTGCCAGGGGTGAAGGTCCTGGGAAGAGCCTGGGAAGTTGATACAGGTGGCACTGATGGGCTTGCTGTGTTGGTTTTGCACAGGCTGTATCTTGGGAGTGGGGGGGCCACAGAGGTGGCTTCTGTGAGAAGCTGCTGGAAGCTTCCACCATATCCAGCAGGCCCAATGCATGGTGGTTCTGTACATGGACATGGTGCTGGCCACAGGTGGGCCAGTTAGAGATGTTGGTAACACCTCTGCAATAACATATTAAAGAAGAAAACCAAAGGAAAGTGGGGCGGGCAGTTTGATTTCCAGCCAGAGAAGAGGAGGAGGTGAGAATATGCACAGGAAACAATATGGAGACACCAAAGTCAGTGGAGAAGGAGGGGGAAGAGATGGTCCAGGTGTCGGAGCAGAGATTCCTCTGCAGGCGGAAGTGAGTCCATGGTGATGCATCAGTGTCCCTGCAGCCCATTGGGATCCATGCGGGATGCAGAGATCCACCCACAGCCCATGGGGATCCAGGGGAAATTCAGAGATTTATCCACAGACCACATCAGTGGTGCCCACACTCGGGCAGGTGGATGCCTGGAGGAGGCTGTGATCCAGGGAATAGATGGGTCCCCTGCTCCCTCGCTGCAGCCGCCAGTCCTTGGAAGATTGCACCCTATGGAAGGATGACCCATGCCAGGGCAGTTTTGGGAGAACAGTGTGCCTCTGGGAGGGACTCATGTTGCAGCAGTTTTGGTTGGAGTTCTGCTTGTGAGAGTGGAGCCATACTGGAGAAGGTCAAGGAGAACTGTCTCCCATGGGATGGACCCTGTGGTGCAGGAGAAGCTGCTGGAAGCTTCCACCATATCCAGCAGGCCCAATGCATGGTGGTTCTGTACATGGACATGGTGCTGGCCACAGGTGGGCCAGTTAGAGATGTTGGTAACACCTCTGCAATAACATATTAAAGAAGAAAACCAAAGGAAAGTGGGGCGGGCAGTTTGATTTCCAGCCAGAGAAGAGGAGGAGGTGAGAATATGCACAGGAAACAATATGGAGACACCAAAGTCAGTGGAGAAGGAGGGGGAAGAGATGGTCCAGGTGTCGGAGCAGAGATTCCTCTGCAGGCGGAAGTGAGTCCATGGTGATGCATCAGTGTCCCTGCAGCCCATTGGGATCCATGCGGGATGCAGAGATCCACCCACAGCCCATGGGGATCCAGGGGAAATTCAGAGATTTATCCACAGACCACATCAGTGGTGCCCACACTCGGGCAGGTGGATGCCTGGAGGAGGCTGTGATCCAGGGAATAGATGGGTCCCCTGCTCCCTCGCTGCAGCCGCCAGTCCTTGGAAGATTGCACCCTATGGAAGGATGACCCATGCCAGGGCAGTTTTGGGAGAACAGTGTGCCTCTGGGAGGGACTCATGTTGCAGCAGTTTTGGTTGGAGTTCTGCTTGTGAGAGTGGAGCCATACTGGAGAAGGTCAAGGAGAACTGTCTCCCATGGGATGGACCCTGTGGTGCAGAAGGGGAGGCACTCCTCTCCCTGAGCACAGGAAGAAAATCATGGGTGATTAACTGACCAAAGCCCGCCTAAATCTGTCTCCCTGTGCTGTTTGTGGGAAGGAGGGAAAGGCTGAGGGAAGAAAAGGTGTTTTTAAGGGCTATTTTAATTCTCATTATCCTCCTCTCATTGTGATAATAATAAACTCAATTTCTATCTCAAAGTTGAACATGTTTTGCCCTTGGGAGACTTTTCTCGAAGTCCTTATCTCAACTTATAATTCGTTTATTAATTTTGTTTCTCTCCCCTGTCCATCTGTAACACGGGAGGCTGAGTGGGCAGCTTTTGTGGGCGCCTGGTGTTTGGCCAGTGTCAAACCACGACATCTGGTCAAGCAGCCAGTGGCTCCAGAGCCTGGGAATTGAGGGCAGGGCAGTGGGGCATGGCACAAGAAATGGTGAGGATGAGTGTGGTCTCAAGACACAGCCAGTGTGCAGATGCTGGTGAGCAAGTCAGAGGGAGCCATACCCTGAGGTACAGCAGAGGTGTCTGCAGAGGTGCCTCAGCCTGAAATCACTCTGATGCTTTCATCCCATCAGGGACTGTGTCAGCATTTGATCTCAGCAGAAAAAATCCTTCCAGGCAGAGGACCCGGGATGGCAGGAGCTCTCCAGCAAAGGGGTGAGAGTGATATGGTCACTTTGTTCTCCTAAAAGCAAAATCTTCTCCTAGGGGTCTGTGCAGCCCAGCTGGCACAAGGCAGGGCTCTTGCTGCTGTGCCCCAGGCAGCTGGAGGCAGCAGGAGCAGAACTCCATGGTGCTCCCAGGCCGTGCCCCGTGTCTGCCCAGGGATCTGGTGCCCTGTGCTCAGGTGTGCAGAGCCCCCAGAGCTGCTCCTGGGGAATGGGCCTGGCCTCTGGCTGCTGGCCCAGCTGGGGGTGGCTCTTGCCCAGGATCCTGCAGCACATCAGCCAGCCCCAGTGGGGCTCTCCAGAGCTCAGGGCAGCTGCACTGGCCCAGGGTGCAGCTCTTCATGCAGCTGAGGCAGGCCTGGAGCTCTGCTGGCTGTGGTCACAGCTGGGACACCAGCACACCTGCAGACACCTGCATGTGGCTGCCTCACTCTGCGCCTCCACCAGAACCTGTGTTTTAGTGCAGCTCCCACAGAGGTTGGTCCTGGCTGAGCAGTAAGACCCAGCAGGACAATGCACAACAGCTCCTGAGCTGAGATGTCCAGTCCCATGATGGCACCTCTGAAAGGGACACAGCTTGCAAGGGCTGTTGTCACCCTGGCCCACGTTGCTCATGCCATACCCATGAGAATAACTGCTGTCTGACCCTGGCACTGGTTTGGGTGTTGGCGCATCCTCTGATTGCATTTGCACGCCCAGTGTCCTGCAAGGGTGCTCTGGGCACTGTGACTTTACTGTTGGTTCTAGAAATTTCAGGGAGAAAAAAATTGTGATTTATAAAAGATGTAACACTGCAATCCAGCACTGCTGCAAATAACTTTTATTGTGAGCTCTTGCAAACTCCATGATGTGGCACACATTGGTCTTTGACAACCACTGAATTTCCCCAAATCAGTTTCCCATCAATCTGCAGAAAAGCTTCAGAAGCACAGCAGAGAATGAAGGTGTCCAAGGAGTGCATCACAGGAATTCAGCTTTGGCTCCTCAAAGCTTTCTATGTCTCTGATGCCAAAGCCTGCCTGTCTGATACAACAGCTGCTGCTCTCAAGGTGCAGTTCCAAAGCTAAGTCCCATCAAAACCAACCCATTCTGTGATTCTGTGATTCTGTGACATGTGGGAATAGCCACAGAGCCTCTTCCACTGAGGATGTGAGGCTTATTGCCGGGGACAGGCATTGTTGAACAGAGTAACCCCTCCCTTATAGAGATCGGTCAACCTCTCTTCCAGCTCCCCCAGGCTGAGCTCCTCCACCTCGTTCTTGTCATTCTCAGCAATGGCCCCCCAAGCATCTTTGGGCTCTTCATCCACCAGACAGCAGGCAGCTGACCAGATGTGGCTGGGTCTGTTAACCCTCTCGTCGGATACGTAGGTGTTCCCAGGCACAGCACCCGTGATCACGTAAGTGGTTGTACAGCCCTTGGTCTTGGTCTTTGTGGTCATCTTTTTAGACTCGTAGATGTTCCACTGGCCCTTGTTGAGGCTGCTGTCCTGGGGCACTATGTTGGTGAGGGTGAAGGTAGCTGTCTTGTTCTCTATACTGAACTGATGGCCACTGGGGCTCAAATGGCCACGGTCCAAACCCCCCAGTCCTTTGTAGTCGGCAGGAACAGCCTGGCTCTGTTTGATTTGGTCTAAGGTGAACTTTTTTTCTTTTATGAGGATCCACTCCCTTTCCATCTCTTTAAGATTTACATTGTTATCTATGAGCTGGACAGGGAAAGAGAAAGTGGTATTAGAAGAGGGAATGAGAGTAATGGAACAGATTTCCCTGGAGCAGAAGTCTCTAATGGTCAAGATCGCATTTTGTGTTATCTCAGTGCAGGAAAACGTTTGAATCTGAGAGAAATCCTACACATGTCCCTCCTGCATGAATAGAACAGCATTAAAGAGCAAGCAGCTCAGAATCTGACCGCTCTCAGTTGGACTTGTGACCTTTGTGATTCAGCCTGGAGCCTGTGCTGAGGTTATGGATGGATACATGAGTCAAGGAACATTTCCCACTCCTAGGATTGAAAGGTGACTTTGGTGAGGCACCTCCCCTGCCAAATCTGCTTTCCTTTCCTCCTGTCTCCACAGCCCAAATCTGCCCAGGGCTCTCCCTGGATCCTCTTACACCATGCTGTGATTGTGTGATTCTGTGATTGTGTGATTTTATGTGTGGTTGCTACAGGTGTACCCCAGTTCTGGAACACCAGGACTGTAACCCCATACAGAGGGAGATGTGTCAGGAAATCAGTCCTGGAGCTGAGGTTTCCCTGGGAGGGCTGCAGTTTATTCAAGGTTGAACAGTTTTGCTCAGTAAGCAAAAAGATCTCAATGTGAATGGAATCTGTTACAGCAGTGCTGAGAATGCGTCTCAGGGCTGATCTGGGCCAGGGAGTATTTTCTCCAGTACTGCTGGAAGGAAGTTACAAATGTTCAGCCTCTGAGAGGGGCCTGTAACCTCAAAAGAGCCCTTTCAAATCTAAATATCCCAAAAAGGCCTCTGGAGTAAATCAACAAAATCAAAGATTTTTTAAATGGCCAAGGTTCATGTCCAGGAGGAAAATGCCAGGTTGGCTAGAGCCTGGATCATGCTGGTCTAGTGGCAAGTGGCCTCGGCTATGCAGGGGAATTGGACTGAGAGGGTCTTTATGGTTCCTTCCAACACCAACCATTCTATGATTCTCCAAAAAGAGAGAATGTGGAGGCTGTAGTGGTGCAATAACAGAGTACGTGTTCAAGTTCCTAAGCATAAGATGAAATAGTTTATTTTTTCATAAGTTCAACATCTTTTGGTTCATCTTTAGAGAAACATATTTAGCCTTCCTCTGGAGTAGGGCATGGAGGTTCCTTCTCTGGCTCATCTTTCCTCAAGTGCCATCCTGCTACTCTGTCCTTAGCAATGAAAAAATTGCTTCTTTTTCTCTTTTGCAATTGGCCTGGCTTGTTTTACTCAAGTTTGTCTGAAAGACATTGGTCAGGGCTCTAGAGCTTGTGGAGTTCTGTCTGTCTGATGGATCCTTCTCAACCAAGCCTCAGCCAAAGGTGCTCAGGGGTCACTGCCCAAGGACGGAGATCACACCCCTCTGACTGGACCAACAATGATGCTCCTCATTTTGCACTGCCTGAAATGTCACTGCAGAAATCCCTCCATAGTTAACATGACCCTCTCATCTCCAGTGCCTTTTCCCTCAAGTATTTGTCTCTCGGCAATTTCATTCCCTTCTGAGTTTCTCCTCACTTCTCTCCCACCACTCACAAAGGCTGTTTGACTCTTCACTGGGAGCAGAGAAGCTCTGCCAGGGATGCAGAACAGCTCAGGGCCAAGGGGGGATCAGATACCAGCAGGACTGTTGGTGCCTCAAGTTTAGCCTTTCCTGGATGCCTTTTCCCCATCACTTGGTCACCCAGCACAGCAGGGCCCAGGGAGGGGAAGCATTTGCCTTTGTCATGTCATGCAAAGGAATCTGATTTGCTGTTCCTGTCAGGTGAAGGCAGAAAGCTGGGCACCCTTGGGATGTGATTCATCTCATGCTCCTGCTGATGTCTGAGATGCATCAGAGGAAGCATGGTGTGCTGGGGTTTGATGTTCAGTGAGGACATTCCTATCCTGTGTGTCCATTTGCATGTGTGTGGTGGGGTGTTACAGAATAAAAGAGGTAATTCAATGCTGCAGCTCATCTCTTCATGGATGGAGGGTGGTGTGATTAAAGAGGGACACTCACCTGGGGCTCAACAAACCACCGTGAGTGAGGTCTCCTGCCATCTCCAGGCTGGTATTTGTAAGCAGAGTACACTGGAATTCTCCTGTCTCTGTCGTACAGGGTGGCATAGTGATACGAGCTCCTGAACCGCTGGCAGATCCAGGCTGGGTTGTCTGGATTCAGGGCATCATTTGGGGGATGGCCTGCATAGAAGAACTGAGGACAAGCTGCAAAGGGTGTTTCTACCTCGCTGTGTCCCAGCCAGAGGCAGCTGGCCAACACCTGCAGCAGCAGCAGCCCCAGCATGGTGGGAGGATTTCAGTGAAGGGCTCTTGCTCCCCTGGAAGGCAAATGCAGAGGGACGCTCAGCTTGGAGAGAGCTGGACATGGCCTAGAGCCTTTTTGTGCAGGGGACAGAGCTGCCAGAGGAGGGGATTATGAGACACCAGGAAAGGAGTAATTTCTGTCCTCCTCGATACAGAAAAATCGCAAGGGCAAAAAGTGTGAAACCTAAAACAGAGTTTAGGTGACCACAGGAGATAGCACTGTGAGAACTCAGCCTGTAGGAGGAAGGAGTCAAACCCACCAGGACTGCAATCAGCTCTCACAGCAAAGGTGTAACTGAGGCACAGCCCTGGGACAAGGTCACCTTTTCCCACCTCCCTCCTGCTCTCAGCTGGGCACGGGCTCTGCTCAGCCCCCTGCCATGCTGACCTGGGCTTTAATCTCATGGGGCATGGGGCAGGCAAAGAACAGCAATGCTGCACTTCCTACAAGTCTCTGGCCCCATCCAGGGTCACACAGACACTCAGCTCTGCCACTCAGACCCAATAGTGAACCCCAAATGATCCACCTGGGCTCCTGCCTCTCAGCTGACATTGGGCCATGGGTGTCCTGCTGCTCACCTTGCATTTCCATGTCATCCACCTCCACACTCTGAACTTGCAGACACATGGAGAGAGCAAATGAAGGGACAACACAAATAGTAACTCCAAGCATGAGAGATAACATCTCTATCTTATCAGCACAGTGGCTGCTGCAATGCAAGCACTGAGGGGCAGCTCTTCCCATTGGTTGCTGGGGATTCCTACTGATGTCCATCTTCAGCTTTGCTGATTCATTTCCCTGTACAATCAAAGGCTATGCTCACAGCGATTTTCCCTTTGCTTTGTAATTTTTAACAGGATCTAAGTCAATTTTATTTACTTAATCCCACCTGGGTTATGAGTGGTTTATAACAGTTTTGTCTCCTTTCAGAGGCAGTACAGGTTTGGGAGAGCAGGGATATTTCCATTTGCATCGCCAGACACTCAATGCAGTGATTTCATGTCATCAGCATTTGGAATAAGGAGCTGGGACAGGCAGGTAAAAGGGTTCCTGGCAGAGAAAGCTGCCACAGCCTCTAAAGCACAAAGCCCACCTTGGGCTGGGAAGGGGCTGAGCTCAGCACTGCTGAAGGCTTGACAAGTCAGCTTGCACATTTGCCCTTGTCTTCTTCTTCTCCCTGACCCTCATCTGTCCATTTCCACTGGAGTCAGGATGTTGAGCTGCACACAGCCCTGCTCTGACCCAAGATATCTGGTACTTTTTCTCTTGTTCATCCCTGGATCAGGAACATGATGACCAATGATCTGCAAACTGAGAACTGGAGGTACAAGTGATGACTTTTTACAGTACTCTGCAGAGCATGCCCAAAGCTACCCTAAAGCAAGCAGGGAAGGGTCTGAAAACTCCTTCTGCGTGTCCTACTCCATGAGATTGAAATAGATCTAACTCACTTAATATCTAAGTTAACAGATACATAAAAAACAACCTACCGTGAGAAGGAGCGGCACAGGATTCTGGTCACAGCCCCCAAGTGGCAGAGGAGTCTCAAATGCCTCTGTTGCAGTCTCAGACTCTCTGGGTTTATATGATTTCCTGTCACCGCACACACTCCACGCATAAGGTGATGTGACAACACCCCGGAGGCCTGGAGTCCCAGCCAGCTACCGCAGGTCAATGCTGATGACAAGTGAGACGGGTCTTCCTTGGTGACCCAAGGATTTATCAATTTTATTAACTGACCAGAGGCAAAGACCCCAAACATAGCAGTTCAGGATATTTTCAACAAGGGAGAACTCTGGAGAGGGTACAGCTCTTCATCCAATCTGAGAAGCTTAGGGGAAGAACATAAAGCAGGGTTTGCAATCTTCTAACCAATCGGGTACACAGGGGGAGGGAAACAGTTCAATTAAACCATTGGAACTTCCAGGATCTGGGGATTTCCAAAGGGGAGGTCTGGCAGGGTTTTGGTAGAAGAAGGGATTGACAACCATGGGGAGGAGGAACTGGGACTGTTTAAAATAAGGGGTTGGTCTTAGGAAAGATAGCTAGCAGGGAGGGTATAATTTGGTCTGACCTAATGAGGCAGGGGGACAAACAGAACAGACCATTAAGGACAAAAACACACCGCAACACTCTCCTGGAAGAGACAGTTGCTAGATTTCCCAAGCAGGCTGAAGGGTGAATTTTCTCAGGACATCACACCACACCTCTGTTTATACAAAGGTTTTTTAGAAGTTGATGGGTGTAGTTTTAGTAGTGAAGACTGTAGATGTTGTTTATTTGGATTTCAGCAAGGCCTTTGACACTGTCTCCCACAGCAGGCTTTAGTTTCTTGCCCAAATCATTCCATCTCTACTTGCCCCCCTGACTGACAGAAAATACCTAAATCCTGCAAAACGCAATGCATGCATAAGCGCTGATTGCTCCTTGGAGCTCAGCAACTCCAGCCTAGGCTTTCTCTATGTATATTTATTGCAAAGCTCAGGAAAGACTTCGAATACTGGAGTTAATGGTGAGGAAGGAGAAAGAGCTTACCTTGAAGCAAAGTCTCAGAAGAAGCAGCTGAACCGTTCCTTCTGTCTTCTCCCTGGAGACAGAAGTGTTTAAATCCTCAGGAGTGCCAATGCAATATATACCCAGTCATAAATTTGCCCCTTCTTATAAACAGGGAATTCCACAGAAAAGAGAGCTTTCTGTTTCTATTCAGGGAGTATGTTCACACCCACCCTGAAATGTGTTGATAGTTGTTTCTCAAATTTTCCCCAGAATTTCTCCCAAATATGCTGATTTGCAGCATGGCATGTCAGGTTCAGCTGACAGGGTCTGGTGGCTGCCTTGATCATTTCATCAATCCCACCAGCTGCAGTCGCTGCTGCTCCAGCACCTACATGTGTTCCTGTTCCCAACAGAACATCTCTGGTGACATTGGATGGACAAGGCCTGGCTCTGAGTGCACTCAGATATTCACAGTCTGCTCTTCTGCAGCCTCCCATAACATCATTCCTATGGCCAGGCTACATATTGCAGACCATGAGATATCATGCTGAGGATATAAAGTGAGGGGAAGAATGGGGAAGGCGGTGTTATTTGGAGTGTTGGTTTTAGTCTACCCAGCTAGCTGTTAGGTGGGATGGGGCCCTGCTCTCCTGGAGGTGGCTGAACACCTTTCTATCCATGGGAAATGGTGAAAGGATTCCTTGACGTGCTGTGCTTGTGTGAACAGCTCTTTTTTTTCCCCATGAGTTTTCCAGGTTTCCCCTTCCCAGTTCTCTCTCTGATCCCGGTGGTCTTGGAGTGAGGGAGTGGCTGCTGGCTGGGCTTAAACCACACTATTATGACAAGGTGAAAAGGCTTGAAATGGAAGGAGTGTAGGTTTAGACTAGATATTAGGAAGATATTTGTTACTGTGGGGGTGGTAAATCCCCAGCACAGGTTGCTCACAGAAGCTGAGACTGCCCCATCCATGGAAGTGTCCAAGGCCAGGTTGCACAAGGCTTGGAGAAACCTGGGATAGTGAAAGGTGTCCCTACCCATAGGACGGCATGGTCATTAAGATCATTTCCAGCCCAAAATGTACTGTCATTCAATGACTATTCATTCACTCAAAACTAAACTGCACTAATTTTCTTCCATTTAGAAGAGTCCAGGAATAACAGAATGAGGAGTTGGTTGTTACAATCAGAAGTATCCAGAAGAAGTGGGTTAGACCAAAGTTTGTTCAAACAAACTGGTTGAGTCCTGTGGTTTCTTTTTTTTCTCTGTTAACCTGTGACTGATTTTTTAAACAAAGTGGGGTTTATCCAGAATGAGGGAGAAGGCCAAGAAGAAGCAGATCTGGTGGAGGTGGGGCAAATTCCTCCTTTCTGATGAGGCCCAGCTGACAGAACAAAGCAGGGCCCACCAGTGGTCACATCATTAGAAGGGGCCACGAACAATAAAAGACCTAAAAAGTGCCCCCAACTCCACAGTGCTGTATGACCCAGTGTAAAACTCCTCCAGGGGGAAACATGAGGCAATTCCACATAATCTTTAACTCACTGAACATGTTTAAGTGTTCAATGCAAAGGCCCTTATGCACCAAAGGATCAAGAGTGGGGACATTAAAGTTGGGAGTCCTGTTCCTGGGTCTGTGGGGATATCTTGTATGAGCTGTTGGCACCCTGGCCCACTTTGTTCATGCCATTCACATGAGAATAACTGGTGTCTGATGCTGACACTAGTGTGGGTGTTATGGCACCCTCTGATTGCATTTGCACACCCAATGTTCTGCAAGGATTCTCTGGGCACTGTGACTTTACTTGTGGTTCTAGAAACTTCAGTGAGAAGCACCTTGTGATTTATAGAATATGTGAGCCTGCAATCCAGCACTGCTGCAAATAACTTTTATTGTGAGCTCTTGCAAACTCCATGATGTGGCACACATTGGTCTTTGACAACCATTGAATACACTTCCCCAAATCAGTTTCCCATCAATATGCAGAAAAGCTTCAGAAGCAGAGCAGAGAATGAAGGTGTCTAAGGAGTGCACCACAGGAATTCAGCTTTGGCTCCTCAAAGCTTTCTATGTCTCTGATGCCAAAGCCTGCCTGTCTGATACAACAGCTGCTGCTCTCAAGGTGCAGTTTCAAAAGCAAGCAAACAAAGGAATATACCAGGATCACAGAATCACTGAATTGTTGTGTTTTGGAGGGACTTCTCAGGACCTTCTAGTCCAGACTCCAGGCTCCAGCAGGATCAGCAGGCTGTCCAGAATCATGTATTTTTGGGGTTTGGGTATCTCCAGACATGGAGATCTCCTGGCAGGATCTCTGGGCATCCTGAGGAGCCCTGGTGCCACAGCCTTGCTAAGGAGATGAGGGACAAGTCAGCTGCACACTCCTGGGGACAGCTAAGGAGGAGAGGACTCATTCCTGAGAGCTCTCTCCTGAGATGGGCAGCAAAGCAAAGCAGCTGGAGGCTCTGCCCACGTCTCTGTGCCTTTGAGCAGAGGAGGAGGTGCCCTGAGGGACAGAG